GCAATTAAAGTTGTTGATCCCGAAGTTCAGTTGTGTATTTGCGCTTAATCTTCTATTCGATTGCAAAGCTTACAACAATGAACAAACATTGGATTGCAGTTTAGGTTAAGACACAAATTCGAACTGAGATGAGAGTGGATTTTCTTGGAAAAGACAAATTTAGGATCAGAGAATTTATATTTCCTGTGTTTTTCGTCATTGAAATAAATATGAAATATATTAAAGTACTTTAAAGAAATATACATTAAACTGCCAAACTTGAAAATTAAGGACAATCCTCCCGACAATCACAACCTTACAACCTTAAAAGTACCATTAGGCTCCTGCGAAAATATGACAACTTATCTGTGGTCATCTTTGTTTGAAGTTAGTTGTAGGTGTTCATGAATTTGCGTGGAGATGGAACAAGCGGCAGAAGGAAGCTTAAAACCATGTCCGCGCTGCTGAGAGTAGTAACTGAAAACATATATGTAGTGTAGGCCCTGTCATGCATGCCATGCCCTGCCATGCAGGGGAACTGAAGGGACTGGAACAAAAATAAAGCGACAGTAGCCTAATGGTTAGAGTGTAGACTTTTAACTGGGAATGTCTTGGGTTCTAATCCGCCATTCAACTACTGTGGTGAACCATTCCTAACAATCGTTATTACGAAGAAGGCACGTCTATATATGTATACTCGTATAATAAAACACAAACACAGATACTGTGAACAAAAGACAATCTAATTGTGCATATATCAATGTTTAAATTTATGCCTAAATCGGTAAAAACGTTACGAATTGAACATAAATTATTTCAGACGTAGTGCTGTGAAAGTTATTTTTATTAACTATTTTATAAAATTTACAATTTTACTATTATGATATGCAAAGGGCTTATTTTCCAGTCGGCATATAAACGTTAGCCATGAAATAAATACAATGACGGTCTTATTTATAATCATTGGTTATTGCTTACTTAAGTTAATTATTAATTATATCTATACCTGTTTCTTTTTATTGTGATTTTGAGATAAGAGAGAGAATGACTTTAAACGCTTCTTTAATTGGATTTTACGTATAAGGCGATATCATCATGGTGAATACAAAAGTGAAACAATTGAACAATTTTATTCAAATAACTGTAATTTTTAATTTGTTTAGGTTTTATTTTATTAAAAATAGGTTCACTCTTGAACCCGAATTTGGCCCTAGAGCAAATATAAGGTCTAAGATGGAGCGAGTTTGCACGCGAGAATCCTGTCCACACTTAATCCAATGATTGGAATGTCAGACATAGACGTACTGATATTAATGAGAAATAGATTATTTATAACCAGCTCAATTATCAATAAAATATGCTATAACGTAATTGGATAATGCCTGAGTTCACTAGTATAGTGCTCGCCATTAATATCGATCCACACCGGCACTACTGAACTTATTAAATAAAATGTTATAAATATCGTTAGGTTACCTGCATTTTGATGACCTATTTGGGGTTCACGTGAAGCTGCATAAGTACTTAAATAATACATAGTAATATACTGCTCGAAGGACCAATAAACAAGAAAGTTTTCGAGTAGCAGGTGTATCGAATAAGCGAAGTGTATGCTGGGTCTCCACTAGCTAGAAAAAAGAACTAATAATATATGCAAGCAGTCTATGAATTTTCGTGATGAAAGTTGAATCAGGACTATGTTTTGTGGCATTTCTTGGGGAAGGCATATGTTAGCAAAATAAAATGTATTGGGCTTGCATGACTATGTAGGGACACATACATTTTGTTGATTTGACATTTTACTCTTTTGTCCGGAGTGCGCTACGGACACTAGTGTAAAATGTCAAAGATAATATTTACCCTTATAACTTATCTTTATAATTTAAATATAATAAAACATCAAAAGCCATCGAATCTCCTCAGTTTAAAGACACTCCCCTTGTTGGCTTAGCCAGTATCGGCATCCACGATGTTTACATATCGAATGACTTTCAGTTTCGAAGAGAGGCCTAAATTGGCTTCTAAAAAGCCTGACTCCTGCTCAGCACAGTGGGAAAGTATTTGATGCTGGCATACCGTTTGCAAATTTACAAGACGCAGGTTCGCCCTCACATGGAATACTGTTCTTATATCTCGGCTGTGCCTCCCCAATGCCAGATGCTTCCACTTGACCGCATATACCGCAGACCGACTCAAATCGTCAACGACCGAGCTCACTCCAATCGGCATGATTCACTACCGCTGCGAAGAGATGTTGCATCCCTTTGAATTTTATATCGCATTTACTACGAGTAGTGCTCTAAGGAAATTTTCGGGCTAATTCCAGCCGCCAAATTTCACTAACTCACATCACGACAAAACTTACGTTACCATCTACATTATCTAAATGTTTGGCGGTCCACTACTGTGGGATTCACTTGGAGTTTTCTTCCTCACACGAATATTTTGTGGAATCGTTCGCCACTGGCGACTTTCCCGGACTGATAAAACCTGTACTCCACCAAATCTAAGAAATACCTTTTGAGAGCTGTCACATTTCTTGGACTAGGCATTTCAACTGAAAAATTGGTACCTACAATATTCGATTCTTAAGAGATATCGATATCGGTTCTTTAGAGTTAGTAATCGTTTACAGTTTTATTAACGCCAGAATAAATTAGAAACAGAAATCAGTTTTCTTAAATTTATTGCTTACTACTAATTTCTAGAGATAAATTATACAAATTAAAGACTGCACTAGACTAAAAACTAATTTATTTAATGACTTTCACTTCAACAAGTTGAGCTGTTGTCGTCATCATCGTTGTTTGCATTAATTATTATTTGATTTTCTTTAATGCATTCATAATGAATATCTATTTTATAGGCGTTCATAACAATTTAATTTAATAAACATTCACAATTGACAAGAAAATAGTTCGCCTTCCTTCGGGAACTCTTGCATTCTGGTCTCTCGCCAAGGCTGTCCAAGAGAATTTCTGTAAGCCATCACTACCATCTCTGCACAGGGAGGACGAATCACTGGCCCAAGCCGCAAAAGACAAAGACGACCTTTTAGGCACCCTTTTTGCGTCCAACTTGACTTTTGATGACGGGGAGAAAACACCGCCGACCATCCAGCGGTGTGAGTGCTTCATGCAGGATGTGCGGTTCTCACAGCGCTCGGTTTGCAAAGCACTCCTCTCCCTGGACATCCAGAAGTCGAGTGGGCCTGACGGAATCCCCCCAATTGTGTTGAGAACGTGTGCTCCGGCGTTGGCACCGGTCTTAACGCGTCTTTTCCGGTACTCCTACTCCCTCTTTTCCGCTCTTACCCGTCCAACTACATACCTATCGCTATCACCTCCTTGTTCTCCAAAATAATGGAACGCTGCCCAACCGAGTTGAATCCGTCGATTGACCTCTCGGTCGAAGTTGTAATTACCTAGTCGGACTATTTTTCCCAGGTAAACATACTAGTCAACAACTACGAGCTTAGTGCTCCCAACAACTACCGGCATAGGTGTGATATGGACATTAAACATGATCTTTTTTTTGTCCATGGACAACTTAATACCATTGAACATAGTGCTTAGGCCCTCCAGCGATTCTGCCATAAGGACTATATCGTCGGCAAATCGAAGGTGAGTGATGTACTCGCCATTGATGTTAATACCGTATCCTTTCCAATCCAGAAGCTTGAAAACATCTTTCAATGCAGCGGTGAAGAGTTTCGGGGATATCACGTCACCCTGTCTTACACCTCTCTGCAATTGGATAGGTTTCGTACTCTGGTTCTGTACTCGGGTAGCCATCGTAGCCCTACTGTACAAGCACTTCAGCACTTCGATATACCGACAGTCAACTTGGCATCGCTGAAGGGCCTGCAGTGCCGCCCAAATTTCGACGGAATCAAAGACTTTCTCATAGTCCACATACGCCAGAAATAGTGGCACATGGCACTCCTCGCACTTCTGTACAATTTGCCGAAGGGTATGTATGTGGTCCATGGTAATAAAGCCTCTTCGATAACCGGCGCGCGAGACGATTCGTAATGACTCTCGAAAATAGCAAGTAGACGCGGCTCAGAAGGGAAATCGGTCTGTAGTTCTTCAAGAGAGCGTTGTCACCTTTCTTGAAGAACAAGACCACCGCACTTCTGCTCCACGCCTCCGGTGTAGTGCCACCATGGAGGACGGAATTAAAGAGCTTCTAAAGGACTTCAAGTACCAGTTTTCCACCCGCTTTCAGAAGCTCCGTTGGAATTCCATCCTCGCCTGGAGGCTTGCCGTTTTTAAGGTGCTGGATAGCCATTCTATTCTCGCTCAGACTGATTTCCCGGATATCATCAGATTAGTGTCGGATAAGACTCGCTCTTGGATCGTTACTCACACTTACGTGTGACTCCAACGATGATGTGTACAGCTGCCCATATAACCTCTCAAACTTACTCAAATCTTAGGTGTCCCAGAAACGACGCTGCTACACTCAGTATTCAGCTTCGAAAATTGGCTAGTTCTGGCAGACAGATCTCTAGCAAAGACTTTGGAACCCAGGTTTCTCTCAATCGCTTCTTTAATACGAGCAGTATTAAAGTTTCGTAAGTCCTGCCGCATGCATTTGGAGATCTGTCTGTTCAGTTGCATGTGTGCTGTCAAATCTACTGAAGACTGCAGCTTCATATCCTGTCTAACAGCCATGAGATTAAGAGTGTGATCGGAGAGTTTTTGCGTTCTTCTGCGGCGAGTCTTGCAAAACTTAGCTCCGACCGCATGGACAGTTTCCACGAGCTTGTCATTCATATCGTCTACTGCATTGCAATCTTCTAGGCACTGAAAACGGTTTTGTAGCTCGATTTGAATGGTTTCGGGACTTTGGATTAGAGAACGAAGGGGACGGAGCGTTGACTTCATTAGACGTGACCTCTACAACTTAACGTTTAGGTTCAGTGTGCCTCTCACCATTCGGTGATCGCTGCCGGTTTTCACCCTCGTGATCACATCATACATGATCACGTCATAATGAAGTCATCTCATTTTTGTTTAACCGTCGGGGCTTGACCAGGTCCACTTCCTATGGGGCCGCTTCTGGAAAAAAGAGTTCATCATAAAGAAACCCTCTTTCTCCATGAAGTTGGCCAGCTGCTGGCCCCTTAGGTTCCGTTGCCCTATTCCAAATTTCCCTACTTTCAGCTCACCGTTCTCTCTTGTGCCTAGTTTTGCAATGAAGTCTCCCATTAAAACCGTATAGTGGGTTTTGGAGGAGTGGATGGCTCTAGAGATATCCTCATATATTTCCTCCACCTTCTCATCGGGATGTGCCGAGGTTGGTGCGTAAACCTGTATGACCTTCAGCGAATACCTTTTGGTGATTCTGAGTATAAGGTACGCAACCCTCGTCGACACACTCCCAATCTTTACAACGTTGTTAACGAGAGACTTGTGGACGATAAATCCGACACCTCCTTGGGACAGATGGTCCCGGTGATAGAACAAATTACCGGATTCGAGGATTACCGTGTCCTCCCCCTTTCTTCGGACTTCGGATAATCCTATGACATTCCAGCGCAACTTGTCTATCTCTTCTTCCAGCTCCAGGATCTTCTCGTCAGTCCTCAGGGTGCGTGCGTTATAAGTTGCCAGGTCGAGTCGTCGTAGGTGGCAACCGAACCTCCACTGGAGGTTTTTAGCACCCTCTGCCCAGCCGTTACCATGGTCGCTACCGTAGCCAGGAATAGCAGGGGCGCCGGGGACTGGGGGCCGTATTTTTGTAACTTTTATCATGGGGGGTATTTTGCCATAGTTGCCACGCTTGGCGAGCGGGTTGGCAACCGCAGTTTTTTATTGTTGTTTTGTCGTTATCAGAAAGATGCTGTTGCCCATCCTCTGCCTCAGTTTCCCTCTGTCGCCTTTTACGACACCCACGGGAAGATATGGGGTATTGGGTTTCCTTACCCGCCACTATACGGGGGCGTTTAATTTATCGTAAAAAATGTTATTTTAAAACATTTGAGTTCGCTTGTACAAAGTAATGAAATTGTGAGAAAGATTTATGTGAAACTTCATAAGGTATTTTTTAGATTTAGTTTGTATAGGGCCCTAAAGAGTCGCTGCGACAAAAATTCAAGGAAATTAATATATTTACTTTGGCCTCTCAATACATTTATGAAAATGTAATGTACGTACACAAAATTAAAACTTGTTTTACAAAAATAAGTAATATTCATTCTGTAAATACTAGAAACAGACACAAGCTAGTAGTACCAGTTACTCGACTCCATTGAGTCAGTAATTCATTCATGGGGCGATGTTTACGCTTTTACAACAAATACCAGAAAATATACAAAACTTGAACTGCTCAAAGTTCAAAAACTTTATTAAACTAAGTTTGTATTAAAAGGGTTATTATAACATTAAAGAATTTATGATTGATAATAACCCCTGGAAATGAGGTGATCGTTACCAAGCTATTTCAAATTTTTTGCGTTGTTAATTTGTGTAACATACATGATTGTACGCTGTTATTTAAAAAAAAGAAAGTCCCGCTGGGTTTCTTGCTTGTTCTTCCCAGGACAGAGGTTTTTTTTCGAACGAGTGGTAATTAAACAAAATAGTGATTTTTAATAAGTATTATTTCTAATCTATATTGAATAAAAATGTTTCTATTTCTGCTTCCGTTTCTTAACAACTCCTTTTTTAAAAGGCCGGCAAACACCTGCAATCCACTGGTTTTGCTATTTGTCGGTTGACACTTATTGGTAGGTGAGCCGCAAGCTCGTTTGCCCCCTCTTCTATAAAAAAGCAATAAAGATATGTGATTACTACAATTGATCAGGTAGTGCAAGCGTTCATTTAGTTAGAATAAACATTTGCCTTTTGCCATTTGGATTATGTTCCGCATTCACAAAACAAACATCAAAATCCAAACAGAATATTGTTTTAATTGTAATCAAATTAAAACAATCAACGTTTTCGCGTTAATTTTCACTCCGATTTTGTGGTGAATTGGGTTGGTGGATTTTGTTGGGTGGTGGATTTACATTTCATATTTATCATTTATTGTAATGAGCGAAGCAAATTTTGGTTTTGTCGTTTAGTAAAGACTGTTTGTTTTGCATAAGAAGTTTATTTAATATTGAGGGAGGGTCCTGACTTGTAGGAATTTTAGCTGAGCGAAAAATGTGATTTTTAAAGAATCTGCTAAAGTTTTTATAACTTAATTTTTTTTATGGTAATTGCCATAAATAATATCCCACCCACAACTGATACCATTGATGAAAGTCGCTTCTACTGAATTTAGCCCCCTTTTTACATAAATGTTTTGTCATTTATGTAGGTCTAAAAGTTTCAGTTTTTTTTTATTATGAAGGTTTTTTTATGGCTCGAAACGGTTCATGTAAACTACGTGTATAATAATACACACGATGCTAGTTCGTCGTTGATCGTAGTTGATATTGAAGAACAAAGCTACAGTGGAAGTTGGATCACTGAAATGTGTGTGTGAAGCGATGTCTGATATTCAGCTGCTTAGACCCAGAGTAAAAGGAAAACCACAATGATATCTTATATTTACACGAATACTAGGAAGTGAATAAAGCTTATTTTACGGATTTTATCGCGTGTGTTTTAAATGATTTAACTTATTTTTAATTCCTGACGTTTCGCGTGCTTTACTGCACACATGGTCACGGAGGACTGTGATATTTGACGTCCCGCTGTCGTATTTAGCCCAGCTACCTTCGGCTTTTGAATATTAATTTTGAATATTATCGTTCTGCGTAGATCGGACTAAATTTAATATTCAATAGCTTAAGGTAGCTGAGCTAACTGACCATAGGTGCTGTTAAGAAATAATCCGGAATAAAAAAATAAGCTGAACCATATTTCACATCGGTTGTATAAAGGAATATATGTTTTCCATAAGTGAATAAATTCGAACATTAATTTTATAACATGAACAAGATGATAAGATTAAAATAAATTCAAGTTGTCGGAAATCTCTCTTCCATTTATTCATGACTACAGTAAAGTTCCTTAAGATTTTTCAAAATGAATTTCATAAATGAAAATGTGACGGAAAGCAGTTGCGAGGAGTGAAAAGAGGCCTTCAATGAGTGTCGACGTGTAAAAGTCAAGTGTCTCACCTGCAAGAGCACAATTACGTGCCTAGACTACGCTACACACTGTCCGTTGGATACGTTGCGAATTTACTTTTGTCAAATAGGATATCTCTGAAATTATTAAATCCGATTACGTTACAAAAATAAATCATTCCAAATGCCTTGAAAACTTTTTGATTTACTGAATTACTTTTTGAATGATGCAAATGTTTTAAAATAAATACTGTTTTCATGGTTTTATGGGTTCATGTTTTTAGTTCTTGCGAATACTACTAATTGAATAAGACAAATTTCACAAATTTTATCGTGCTTAACAACCTTTTTTTTTTCATTCTCGACGTCTTATACAATTTACAATATCCGTGGTCACGGTGGGAGGGGATATTCAGGGTGTCATAGAAGACGAAAGAGGGCAACTGAAAGAGGAGGTAAGCTGCTGATGCAACTTCCTCATTATTTTTTCACAACTGCAACACCAGAGCAATTGAAAGTGCGTTGCCGGCCTTTTAGATGGAAGTGAGCTCTTTCCTTGCAAGTCTCTAAGTCATATCGGTCTTGAAAAAACGCCAGTGGTACTCTTATCAAAGTTAAAATTCTACCGAACCTACTAATAGGTCGTACGAGGAAGAAAATTCCTAGAAAAACGCACAGTGGTATCCACCATGCTTCCAAATTGTATGGATGGTATCGTGAGTTTTATAGCGATTTGCGGTCGAGAAATTTGGCGACTGGAATTCATCCGAACAATTCCTCAGATTTCTCCCCGAGGTAAATACTACAGAAAATGCATAGGGATGCAATAACCCTACGCAGCGCCAGTGAATCGAGCTGATCAGAAAAAACTTGGTTGTCGACAATTCGAGCCGCACTACGCTGGATACGGTCAAGTGTAAGGACCTGCCACTGGGGGGCCCAGCCCAGTCATTGTAGCTAAAACTAGCACATAAAAAGCGGTTGCCAGTTGTAGCAAAATACCGCAATAATATTAATTCAGCAGTGAAATTATTTAGTTTTTTTTTATAGAATAAGGGTGACAAACGAGCACTCATTCCACCTGATGGTAAGTGGTTGCTGCGGCCCATAGACATCTACATCCATTTTCCTTGAGCCTTGCTGCAGCCATATTAATAGTATGGTTATAGCACGAATGGGTCGGCTCGACCGGGGAAGGACCACGCTCTCACAGAATACCAGCGTAAAATAGCAGCTTAATGCTGCTGTGTTTCTTATGGTGAGTGTAGAGAACCGGAGACCCTTTTTACTGGAAAAGAGGCATTCCATCTTAGTCCTCACGGCTGACAACGCATCTGCATTTTAATTCGCAAACGAGGATAAATGTAGATGTCTATGGGCCACAGCAGCCACTTACCATCAGGTGGACTATGTGCTCGTTTGTCACCCTATCCTATAAAAAAAAACTAACATAATTAAATTCTGCATTTCATTGGCTTTCTGTGAGTGATTTTTATTCTGATATAGGTAAAAAACTTTCTCCGTGCTAACGGTTTTAGTTGAACTGGTCGTGATCGGACCGTATAAAAATCGCGACGAGCGTCGCCGGGACGTTCAAGGCTACTGTCGCCGCGTCGTCCGGACGTTTGAGTGGGTAGGCAGGTTTTGCCATATTATTGGTGGGTGTTGGGCATATTTGAAACGACAGTACCTGAAATCTCACATGTTTGAAACTTACGTTTACGCGAACGCTACACATTTATATAAAACTAGTTTTTACGAATTTTATCGAATACATTAACTAATTTTTTTATATAGTTTTTCGTAGTCGTGGTTAACTATGACATTGGGACGTCCCCTCGTGACCATGGATGTTGTAAAGTTATAAAGTCAGGAAAATAAAATATCTTAATATACGCGATAAAATCCGTAAAACCAGTTTTTTTAACCTTTGAAGTTGTTGTGCGGCACGTATTTTACGCCTAATGTTACCGCTGTGTATTAGATACCACGATGTATTTTTATAGACTGCTCTTACGATGTTCATGGTATGAAATGGGATGACAGATTATTCTATGTCAAAAGGAGCGGCAGACATACATTTTATATATTATCTAGTTGCAGGCCTCATAACGCGAAGGGTTATTAGGTAGTGCTTTACTCTCGACATGTCAAGTTCAATCTATTTTGTGTTGTTAAAATGCCTATATTATAACCATAATTACTGCACTTATACGATAAAATGAGTAGACGCATATCAAGAAAACACTCTAATTAATCAATCGTATTTTTTTTTAAATATTTTTATACTCGCTACTTTGAAAAAAATAACGGTTTGAAATTTTATTTACGTGGAAGTGCGAAGTTAATTTTGTATGTGGTCACGATAATTCCCGATAAAATGGGTTTTTTTATTAATTTCAGAATTACATCAACTGTTTTTATTTTATATCAATATCCTAGTACGCGTAATTTGTTAATAAAATGGATTTCAACTTTTATAAGTTTTATTGCTATTAAAAATTTAAAGGTGCTTTCATATTTTTAAGCCCTTGATGGACAAAGAACAAATGTACCATACAGCCTTAATCGATTTTATACTTTGTGAAATCGATTTATTTTGTTAAACATTATTATTTTTTTCCCTGTAGCTGACACTACCTGTTAAAATAATAGAGCGCTAAATTTAAAACACGTAAATAATATATTTTA